CCCTTAGCCGGTGAGATTTGAAACGCCGAACTGCAGATAGCAGTCAGCTGAAGTGGCTGCAGTACAGCACTCTAACCACTGCGCCACCTCGGCTCTTAATATCCATAATATCCTGGACTGTACCAGGATTCCAAGCCAGAGTTGAGTTTCAAAGAGGTTTTGTGAAAGAAATCCAGATGCCAGGTTTATAAACCATTTTTTTTATTTCTTCATCAACTGCTTCACCACCATAATCCAATGCTGTGAATACGTAACAAGGTGATCTCAGGGGTAGCTAACAGCTTGCTAAAGCCAGAATATACTTGCTCCTATGGATAAAAAGCCTTTTCTTTGGTGATAACATTTTTTTCCTTTTATTTATAAAAAATAGTTTCTTTAATCTCGGCCCGTTCCGCTCTTCAAGTTACTAGTCCCTGCCTTTTTGCAGAACGGGCCCGGTCCCCCCCTGTGGCACCCTTCTCACACAGTTTGTTAACAAACAGCTCCTGTCGACTTAAATATCTTTTTTTTTTTTTAAATGGTTTCCATGCAGTTTTTGGAAAAACAAAAACAAAACTTTAAAAAAATATGTCCAGGCAAAAATATAAAAGAAAACCAAGGCAACATATATAAACATTGCATCAATTCGAGTTCTCTGGGTTCGATTAAGCCGAGGCAAGGCGGTGGCCTTTGGAGATTGGCGAGTAACGTGGAAATAAAATAAAAAAACTCGCACAAAGGCAAAAGTGTTGTGCTTTTGTTGGAAGAGGGAAGCAACAACACACTTGTGCTGCGAAGGCAGCACCGTGGTTTCGGAAGGCTGCAGGGAAACCCACTTCAACCCGGCCAGGTGCCAGGGCACCACCAGGGGGCAGCGGGGGCACCAAATTCCGCTTCCCCCCCCCCAGCTCGCACTCAAATCGAAACCTAACCAAGTTTCTAGTCCTTCGGGAGGCGGACTTGAAAGCGAGAGAGAGTCAGGAGTATCGGAAGCCAGAGAACGGGCTCCTGAGACTTTTCAGTGGCACGACTCCTTCTCTGTGGCTAGGTGGTGAAGAACGGGGTGCGACAAAGGAGCTTCCCCGAGAGGATAAATTCCGTAAAACCTTCCTGCCTAATGTATGATTTCTACTAAGTGGTTTTTGATTCCTTTAAAGGTGTGGCTTAAAAACGTTGCTGGATTTGCACCCATGACCGAACAGCAGGTTAAATTACAAAGGAAAAATAAAAGAAACAGTCAAGCCCATCTCAAACCTTTGAACCACTAGAAACTCCTATTATTATTATTATTCTTTTTTTTTTAAAGGAAACTTTTTCTTTCCTTTCCTTCTTCCTTTCAGGGCCGGAGAGAGCCTTAAAGCTGGCCACTCTCCCGAAAACTGCCCCTCTGGACGAGGAAAGAAAGCTTTGGTCGGTGTGCCCGCCACCGGCACGAGTGCGAATTGTTCCCTTGGACACTTGAGGAGATGCAACCTTGAAATTTCTGACAAAGGGAGGGAAGGAGGGAGGGAGGTAGCTGGGTTGGTTCCCGACCCCCTCTCCCAGACCTCTCCTGGTCTGGGTAGCCAAGGCCAACGGAGAGTCCTTGAGCCAAAGAGAGTCCACTCTTCCGGAAGCGGAGCAGAGCACTTNGGTTGGTGACTCCTGCTTTAAAGGATGGAAACATTTGGACTTAGAAGCTGTGAAGAGCAGAGTTGTTCACTTACGGGTTGAAAAAAAGGGGAATTTGCAGAATCTGTCCTGGGGCACTTCAGAGATCCACAACTGCCTCCTTTTCCTGCATCGGAAGAGGCTTCTTCCTAGCTCTCTGCAGAGAGAGGACTCAGAGGAAGCAAAGGGACAGCAGCCGCAGGGGAAGGGAATGGACACCTTCTGCCTCTCTCTCTCTCTCTCTCCCTCTCTCTCTCTCTCTCTCTCTCTCTCTCTCTCTTTCTGCAGCCAATGGGAGTCAGGGAGGCTGGAAATGGGCGGGCACTCTAGCCACCCATCCCACGCTGGCTGGCTGGGGATACTTTCCTTAACCCCTTTTATATTATAAAATTTTTATTTATTTATTTTACGACTCCTCCTTCTTTACATATTGCAGAAAGTGTATCAGCTGCTTACAAAAGGCTTTTGTGCATCTCTTCCACCGTCATCAAATATAATTCATATTAATTCAAGTATCTTAACTCAGATATTTACTATATTAACATCATCATACCTCCACTTTTATTTGACTATAGTTATTTAAACATCCTTCAATATACCAAGATTCAAGCCATAACCACATACTGGCATTTCATTTCCTTATTTGTAAAATCCTCCATTAATATTAAATCCTCATCTCTGGTTTTAGCTAAACATCCATAATATTTAATATCAAAATTTTCTAATCCTCCGTGGACTTTTCTTAACCCCTTTTGCATCCCCTCATTCCCACCCCTTAAATCCCTGCCTCTGTGTTTATCTGCTTACCTGCTTCAGGAGCTGAAGTTGAGGTGAAGAAATCAGTCAAGCTGAGAAGGGGCTTGGGAGGGGGACGGGTGGAGATTTGGTGGGGTTGGGGGGGGAGACGCATTCACTTGGGTTCCTTTGGAGAGCAGAGGTCTGGGGCAACCTCTCCAAGCCCTGTTCTCTAAAAAAATGCTTTGCAGGGAGGTGGAGTTGGCATTACCCCAAAGCCCAGCTGCGGTCCATCTTTTTTTGCTGGAATGCATGGAATTTACACTCCACCCACCCGCGAGGAAGGGAACACTGGAAAGGAACTGGCCTCCAGAGCCACAAATAGCAGCTGGAGGGGAAAACATCCCAGCTCTTTAAACCAGTGTTTCTCAACCTGGGTAACTCTTAAAATATGAGGAACGGTTGCAGGAACTGGCTATGTCCGGTTTAATGAAAAGAAGGACCAGGGGAGACAGGATAGCAGTCTTCCAATATCTCAGGGGCTGCTACAAAGAAGAGGGAGTCAAGCTATTCTCCAAAGCAACTGAGGGCAGAACGAGAAGCAATGGGTGGAAACTAATCAAGGAGAGAAGCCACTTAGAACTGAGGAGGAATTTCCTGACAGTGAGAACAATTAACCAGTGGAACAGAAGTTGCCTCCAGAGGTTGTGAATGCCCCAACACTGGAAGTCTTTAAGAAGATGTTGGATAGCCATTTGTCTGAAGTGGTGTAGGGTTTCCTGCCCAGGCAGAGGGTTGGACTAGAAGACCTCCAAGGTCCCTTCCAACTCTGCTATTGTATTGTACTGTATTGATGTAGAAAAGATGTGGAGACTCTAGAAAGAGTGCAGAGAAGAGCAACAAAGACTAGTCCTTCTTTTCATTAGAAAAGACCAGAATAGAATAACAAAGTTGAAAGGGACCTTGGAGGTCTTCTAGTCCAACCCCTGCTTAGGCAGGAAACCCTACACCACTTCAGACAAATGGCTATCCAGCATCTTCTTAAAGACTTCCAGTGTTGGGGCATTCACAACCTCTGGAGGCAACTTCTGTTCCACTGGTTAATTGTTCTCACTGTCAGGAAATTCCTCCTCAGTTCTAACTTCCAGTGTTGGGGCATTCACAACCTCTGGAGGCAACTTCTGTTCCACTGGTTAATTGTTC